GCCTGTCGGAATTAGCTCGATGTTATTGGAATAACTGAAGTGCCCCCACACGGATTCCAGGTCTTTCGAATGACTAATGAGTTGAATTCTCGATACCCATCTACGGTTACAGGTTTACATCGAGCAATCCAGGCCATTTCCTCGCTGCACTATTTATAGGCGAAATTTCCTTATTAACAGAATTCTTTTTTGCTCCTTAAGATGCTGGGGTGAGTTGAGGAAAAGAAGGTGAAATTTTGGTGTTAACTCGAAAATTGTCTGCCATTCGGGTACATGAATCCTTGCACGGTAAAAGCTAATTTTTTAAAAGTAGCAGATTTTAGCAAATTTTCTAGTACAAAAAAAGGATGAAATTATAGATGACGAAAAAATTAAGAAATGCAAATTTCTTGTGATCCAATACTTTTACGAGATTACAAGTTACGTACTGCAAAAATTGGCAGGGAAATTCTTGTCTGTGTTATGAAAAACTTCATATTAGAGCTGGCCGAAAGTGAAGATTTAGTATAAGATTTGTGATTTGTTCATGGCTGTGAGCGTTACTTGGGTCCGAGAGTTGAATTGACGGCGACGAATACAGGGTAGTTGAAGTGACGCAGATGGATAAGTTGGTTTATCCACAACACAATATTAGCCAACGAACCACAAACCAACAAAAGCAGGGTATTTATACAGGGAGTAGAGCACAACGAATATTCTAGAATAATAAAACACTAAACGACGCAACTCAATCTATATGCATTCACAAAGAACATTCTAGAAAATTCTGCACAAAAGCCTATAATAGAGATCTCCCTAGAACTTCCGAAGATCATGATCAAAGATCGTCGAGGTCTCAACATTACTGATGAGGGAAATGTCGGTGTAGAAAAGCGGGGTGCAGGAAACGTTCAAAAAATAGGTAAAAACGTGACGTTAAGGCAGAAATGAAGAAATCGTGTGTGATAATTGAGTTGCTTAATGCTTCAGGCAGAGACGTGGATGACAAAGCAAGAGGCATTCCTGGCCAACGACGATCTTGGCGATAGCTTGGATAGCGTGGAATCGCTGATTAAAAAGCATGAAGATTTCGAGAAGTCACTGGCAGCGCAGGAAGAGAAAATCAACGCTTTGGACGAATTTGCAACGAAATTGATCCAGGGCCAGCATTATGCGGCCGATGATGTGGCACGACGGCGTGCATCGCTCCTGGACCGCAGAAGACAGCTTATGAAAAAGGTTAACCTGTTTGTGATGTTGGCTTTCTGTAATGCGCGGTAGAGGGCCTAAGGCCTGTGCGGCTGTAGGGGCGCAGCGGTGGGGACACTCGCCCAGCTCAGTAAACAAAACTTTATTAAAACAAGCAGAGAAAAAACTCACAAACCACCAAAAATTTGGCAGCAGCTCCAGACTGCTACCAGACAATTTTATGTGGAGCTTCAAGCTTCCGCCGCACAATTTTTTGACGCACAAAAACAATGAACATTTCATTTCTAATCACATCGTTACATATCACGGAAGGAGGAACTCAAGTCAGGAGACGGGACATTTGCGTATCACACGGAATCGAAGGGCAACTGGGCAAGGCGAAGGAGGTTTAACCGGCAGCTTTTCGTAGCTGTTAACACCTTGTTCATTTTCAACAGAAATCTTGACTGTTTATTAGATATAGCTTGGGAGAACTTATACAGGCCTCTCCTCTCCTTCCGTTTCGCAGAATCAGATCGCAGAATTTCAGTTTCAAGTTAACTCCGATCCCTTTCTTTTCTGAAGCCTTGTATCCTAGTTGGTCTTGGTGATACAGAATTGAGATGTTCAACGTACGGTGCTGCTGAGCCGAGACTTTCTTATTGTTCAGCCCAGAAGTGTTGATAATTTCAGGCAGCTGAAAGACGAAAACAGCTTGAAAACTCTTACCGCTTACAACAGTTCGATCGTGACTGCGACGAAATGCTTGGATGGATTACCGAAAAGCTGAAGACGGCGAGAGATGATTCTTACTTGGATCCCACCAACATCAGGCAAGTGCTCCAAAATACTTCATTTCCCAAATTTGAAGTTTTCCCATTGAGCGGTGGTCATTCGCGCTTTGAATGGAGTTAACTGTAGTTGATCTGACAAACTTGCTGTTTCACCCGTGATGTCAGCAGTATGTAACCCATGATAATCAGTAAGTAGTCTTTTTTTGGTTTTTCTTGAAAAATGTTGGGTGTAATACATATTCTATTAGCCATTTGGAAGATTCTGCGGTTTTGTTGTTAATTCTACATTGATGCATGTTAGCTATAATCAGCAGAATGAAGAAAGGCTCGGAATTAATAGGATGTGGTTTTTCCAAATTTGGCAAGTGGGGGAAGGGTTTGATGTGGATGGCCATTTATTGTATGATTCTAAAAAATCTCTACAGTGTTGTTTTGAACATCTGAAATAGAAGAATAGAAGAATTTCACTTGAATCTGAAAACGAAGTTTTGGCTTTTTCTTTATTCATTTACTGTGAGAATTTCTGTTCAGAGGGAAACTGCAGAAGCATCTCAACTACGAGCAGGAACTGCGAGCGAACAAGAACCGTCTTGATGAAATTAACGCAACCGGAAGTGCGCTGGTCGAGGAGAATCATTACGCAGCACCACATATTCGGGAGCGACTGGGTGAAGTGAACGGTATGTGGGATGAATTAGTGGACGCAACCGCAAAGAAGGGAGCCAAACTGAAGGAAGCCGGCGATCAGCAACTCTTCAACAGGTTATTTTTTATGACTGTGTAAAATACAGCAACTTCTGATGACGCCGAAATCTTTCGAGGAAATTTAGCGAACTCGCGATCCGAATGCTTTTTTGAGCTATGTAGTTGTTATTTCTGGTCTTGCCACACAGATTCAGAACTGCTGCGTAGAGCTCCCCGTGCATCGGTTTGCTATTAGAAGCATGCACCTGAATTTTTATTTGAAACCATTACATTGTTGAGGGGAAAAATTTGAATTATTAGGTATCAGAAGGGTACCGTGGAAGTTTCACGTTTTTGTAGTGTTCTACTACCTTAATTTAAATTTAGATATTTTAATATTTAGATATTTTTTTAAATTTAGATATTTAGATTTTTTGATTATAATTTAGATATTTTAAATTTAAATAGATATTTTGTGATTGTGAAAGAGTTTGTATC